CCTTCACTTAACCCATCATGTGATAACTTGTTGGATAGGTATTTTCATAAGCTATCCAACGATACCTATATTGTCTATATCTGGTAATAGGGTCCGTGTCCAGGCCGGGAACCCGGATTTTCGGGTCAAAAATCTGGGGTCCCAGGTCCGTCCCCTAGTAAAAAATGGTAAAGTAAATTTCCCGGAATCAAGGTAAAAATACCTACCTCTGAGAAAAATTTCGAAAAAATCGAAGAGTTTTTCCATATTTTGCTGTTATTGTCATATTATCAATATAGAATATGGCAACATGAATTCAGTAAACTTTACGCTAAAAGATAAAGGGAAGATGGTCTGGCCTTTTGCTTATCGGACATTTAAATGAGACTTGTAATAACGAAAAACTAGAACCCATTATGACCTACAAATACCAATTTTCGGACAAATCCGTGAAAAAATGTGGCAAATATCATCAAATTACCGAATGCCGGGAAGTAGCGTTATATGGGGACTATATCAAAAGGTGGACCTATACATACAATGTTCCGCCACACGACCTAGAACCCATTATGACCTACAAATACCAATTTTCAGACAAATCCGTGAAAATATGTGGCAAAAATCGTCAAATTACCGAAAGTCGGGAGGTGCCGTGGACTTATAATTACATTGACTCGCCACACGAACTGGGACCCATTATGACCTATAAATACCAATTTTCAGACAAATCCGTGAAAAAATGTGGCAAAAAAAATCAAATTACCGAATGTCGGGAGGTACCGTTATATGGGGACTATACCAGAACGTGGACCGATATATCTCATTTTCATTACCAACCATTCTGGACACAATGCAAATAGCTCTGCTAAATTTTGGCGCTCTACGTCAAATAATGTGGGCTGTATCGTGATTTCAACAGACAGACAGACAGACGGACATCGTTAAATCGACATAGAATTTTATGCTGATTATGAATATATATACTTTATGGGGTCTACGACGAATATTTAAGGATGTTACAAACGGAATGGCAAAGTTAATATACCCTCCTTTCCAAGGTGGAGGGTATAATAACATCATGTGACCACTTGTTGGAAAAGTTTTATTATCGATTTTGTAGATCCAAAAAAAACTTTCCTGGAATCAGGGTACAAATACATATCTCTGGAACAAAATTTTAAAAAATTTTGAAGTTTTTAATGAACTAGAGTTATTTCTTTCTCTGCACTATGCATCTGTGCCTTCATTCTTGCAGGAAGAATTTTCTGTTGTAAAAGTAACCAGACAGACCTAAAGGTGTAAGCATGGTAGAAGAATATAGGTAGATGCATCAACGCTTGGGGACATTGACATGTCAACATTTTTTAAGGGCTTTGTCAAAAATAAGTCGATTTTTATATGTTTTCTTATACGACGTAAGTCGGAGTTTGTAATGAAATTTACAAATTGTAATAATTTTTCATTCACGATTTTCAATATCAAATTCGGTTTGACAGTTCATTGTCCCAGCAGCTGTGTCGATGCGACTATCGTATTCTTCTACCATGGGTATAAGTCAATAAGAAGCTTGAAGTCATGGTTAGGCATATTTTGTGACATTTCAAAAAGGGATTACAGAGTCGCACTAAAATCCTGCCGTCGTTTTCCATTATAATTTGTCATTAATATGCCTAACTGTGTCAAATGTCCCCTAAAAATCCCCAGATTCCAAATGTAAATTTTTATCCCGATTCCTAATTAAAACCTTCGATTTGGGGAAAAAAGTTCCCAGTACTGGCTACACTGTCCTCTCACAAAATTTTTTACCTCTTAATTCTTTATGAAAAAGGATTAATATAGGTTAGGTTAGGTTAAAGGACGCGCGATTGCCATATGGCAACCGCTCCACTCGGAGACCTATAGGTCCATTGTGTTCATCCTAGAAAAGAGTTTTGAGAGATAGAAGAAAAAGTGATTGATAGAGAAGATGAAGATAAGGGATAGTGTAGTAGAGTGAGAATCTACGGCTGAGGAGTTTGCCGTGTCGTCTTTAGCCACTTGAGTCTTCTGGCAAGTTGAAGTATTACTACTGGGTCAGTGTTAGAAAAAGACGACAAGTCATGTGACACTAGTTCTCCCACTAGCCTATGCCTCACATTAATGAGTGCTGGGTAGTGGCAGAGTAAGTGTTCGATTGTCTCGATTTCTTCTCCATCTTGACAGATCCTACAGTAGTTAATGCCGTCGCTGTCCCATTTCGATGTCATAGCCCTCACCTTACAGTGACCTGTGATGATGCCCACCACGAGTTTTAAATCAGGTTTTGACAATGACATCAGCGAGTCATGTGACACTAGTTCTCCCACTAGCCTATGCCTCACATTAATGAGTGCTGGGTAGTGGCAGAGTAAGTGTTCGATTGTCTCGATTTCTTCTCCATCTTGACAGATCCTACAGTAGTTAATGCCGTCGCTGTCCCATTTCGATGTCATAGCCCTCACCTTACAGTGACCTGTGATGATGCCCACCACGAGTTTTAAATCAGGTTTTGACAATGACATCAGCGAGCTTGTTCTCTTCTCCGAGAGCGTGGGCCAGATTCGTTTGGGGATGGTACAACCAATTTCATCCAGCCATTTTTGTTGGATCTTCTCAGAGTAGTGTTTGTGAATAACCTGCAGGAAGTGGCACAGTGGTGGTTTAACCGAGTTGTCTGCTTGAATTGTAGTTGATTCGGATCCTAATCTGGCCGCGGAAAGGTGGGTTGTTTTGAGCCCAGGCGTCTCTGTCAGGTATGTGTATGTCAGGTGGGTAGAAGCTTAGTCGATGGTGAAATATAGTCACTTGCAAAGTCTGTCTCTCCCACATTCCTTACACGCCTTAGAATCGCAGAATGTCCAAAGGGTTGACTGCGCCATTCACCTAGTTCTCTGAGTCGAAGAGCACTCCTGGATGCCTGTTCCTCCACACATAAATTCAGTGGGCCTAGACCCAGTAGAGTATCCAGTGCTGCTTGAGGCGTGCTCCTGAAGGCACCCGTTATTAATAAGGATGCGGCCCGTTGAACTTTGTTAATATGTCGTAGATAAGTTAACTTCTTCAAAGAATGCCACCATACTAGAGATCCATAGGTTAGAATGGGGCGAACGATTGACTCATACATCCATTTGATGATGTGCGGTTTGAGGCCCCAGCTCTTGCCTATAGAATTCTTGCAGGGATAGAGTGCAATTAAGCCTCTCTTACCTCGTTCCTCGGTGTTCCTCTTCCAACTTAGTCGGTGGTCAAGGATGGTGCCAATGTATTTGGCTTCTAGCGAAAGGTTTAAACTGACTCCATCTAGTTTCGGTGGTGTAAATGTAGGGTATTTACGTCTTTTAGTGAAAAGGACGAGCTCTGTCTTTGATGGGTTCACGCCTAGAGCTCCTTGCATTAGATCCGAGATTGTTTGCAGGAATTTCCCGGCGATTAATAGGACGACGTCATCAGCGTATGCGACTACTTTCGTTCCTGTTACCTCTAGATCCATAATTATATTATTGATGACCAAAAGCCAGAGTAATGGTGATAGGTTCACGCCTAGAGCTCCTTGCATTAGATCCGAGATTGTTTGCAGGAATTTCCCGGCGATTAATCGGAGTGCCCATCGTGACCGATTTCCTGACGGATATTTCCCCAATGCTCGAGTTGATAATTCTGCTGCTAAGCATGGTATCAATCCAGTCTATGAGGAGTTGGGGTACTTTAAGTTTTGATAAGGAATCAAGAATGGATTCTAGCGTGACGTTGTTAAAGGCTCCCTCAATATCGAGGAAGGCAGGTGAATAAGGAACCATTCATGTTCTTCTCTATATACCCTACGACATCGTGTTGCGCTGTTTCAACAGACTTACCTTTCATATGGGCATGTTGAGCATTGCTAATGACGGTCTTGGGTACTAGAGATCTGATCTCTATGTCTATCAGCCTTTCCAAAGTTTTCAATAGAAAGGATGAGAGACTTATTGGTCTATAGTCCTTGGGAAGTGAGTGACTCGGTTTCCCCGCTTTGGGGATATAAGTAACTGTGACTTCTCTCCAAGCTTCAGGAATGTAGGATAGACACAGACAAGCTTTGAAAATCTCCCCCAGTATTAGGGATAATGACGCTGAGACACGCTGTATCATAGCGGGAATAATACCGTCTGGTCCTGGAGATTTAAAAGGCTTGAATGTATCTATTGCCCATTTGATTTTGGGTATGCTTACTATTCTGTTAGCCAAGTTTTGTTCACTAGCCGTATGATCACGATGCACTTGATCGGTTTGCCGATTGCTTGCAGCGTCGATACAGCCTGGGAAGTGTGTGTTGGCTAGCAGGTTAAGAGTCTCTAGTCCAGAGTCAGTCCATGTGCCGTCAGTCCGTTTTATACTTCCTATGGATTTACGATCCTTCCTGGAGGCATCGTTGACACTTTCAATCGACTCCGTGAAACATACCCAAGATGTGCGCTTGGCCTTCTTGATCTCACTGTTGTACTTGTTAAAGGATGCCTTATAGGCATCCCAGTCAGTACGTAGTTTGGTCTTGTTGGCCCTATTATACAGTCGTCTACTGTCCCTCCTTAAGTTGGCTAAATGCTTTGACCACCAAACTGACATATCTTCCCTGGGTAGGAAGACGGACAGACTTTAGCAATCAATCAAAGCACTCGTTATCGCATTTACGGAGTTGTCTATATCGAGGGTTGAGGTTAAGACCATGTTGTCGAAACAGTGAAGCCTGGGTGTAGCCAGCTCCGTAAATTTGTCCCAATGTGCCTTTCTTGGATTCCTATGTGGTTTTTGAGGAATACTATCTACTAAGACTTTGAAAACTATCTAACGGTGATCTGAAAACGAGCACTCAGGAGAGACTTTCCAGTCTTGTATTAGGGATTCATCCTTGTTAGTTAGGGTGGGGTCAATGACCTCTGCCCTGTCTTTGATTTGGAATGTTGCATCATTGCCCCTATTACAAATTTTGAGATTATATTTTAAGATAAAATCAAAAATCGACTCACCTCTGACGTTGGTATCGTTGCTACCCCATTGGAAGTGGTGTGCGTTGGCATCACAACCTATGATTAGATGCCCTTTGTCAGCCAGATCTTCGAGCAGCTCCTCTACTTCATGTCCAGGTGGGTCAGGTCGCTCGTACGGTAGATATAGAGATATGAAAATGTGAACCCTTCCGGATTTAGACTCCAATCTCGCTACCGTAACGTCTCCTCCACTGTTGTTGCTAAGGAAGATAAGGTTTAAACTCTTTTTGGCAACAATACACGTCCTTACCTTATCACCATTGGAGACCGCGTAAGAGACGTACTGCCCACTCCCTAGTCCAGTTACCCTATTATTGTATATATAGGGTTCCTGAACCAGAGCTATGTCTACTTCAGCTTTCGAGAGGGATAGGAGGAGTTCTGCAGAAGCTGCTTTGCAGTGATGCAGATTAATCTGCATGATGCTAAGTAGCTGCTGTTTTCTTCCACCTAATGCAACGGCGTTAGACGGAAACGGATCCATCCAGCGCCGAAATGCAGTTTTCCCCCACGAGCTTGAAGGTATTCCTGGCCATCCGTATCCATAGATACCTTGATGACCAGGCCCCCTCCCTCAATGTTTGAACTGACAAGACGCCAGTTGTCCGTTTTGAGGTTGGGGTTCTCCTTGCCCAGTATTGTCAGGATGCGTGCCGGATCCACGGATGGTGGTGGCACCCAAGCTGTCAATACCTTACGGCAGGGGATGTCCTTTAAGGATACAGCCGCCAGATCACATCCCTGCCAGAGATCGCGAAAGCCAGATACTGCGGTGACCAGGTAATCCTTAGATTCCTGGTTCTCGCAGCACATTACCTTCACGCCTTTGTAAAGGGTTGCACTGCCGAACTGCATACTTTTCAACGCTGGGCGTGACGAGGTATCGGCCTCCGGTGGAACTGCAGGGGCTTCGGCTATAGTGGGCTTCGGTTTCTTGGCCTTATTTTTCCGCGCTTTTTGGCAGGTGGATTCGACCCAGCAGTGTCAGCATTAGCCGTCACCTCGTGAACAACGATCGTGGTGGTCTTGTTAGTGGCGGCGGAATTGCTGACCACCGCAGGGCCCTCAGCAGAGGGTTGAACCACAGGTTGGTTTACCCTACTGCTGATAGCAGATTGTAGGAGAGGTAGAAGATTCTGGTTTAGAGAACAGCTCGGTAAGTGCGGGTGGTTCCGTTCGAACTTAGCAATTACCTTGAGGTTCATCTTGATCAGAATCCTCTCTCTCCGTTATCTGCGCGGGGTCTTTGCCGTAATTTACCGACCTTTTATATCCCCGCTTTGCTTTCACCTCTTTTGGGTCGGCGCCATCACGAGAGGTAGGGTTTCTGGCAGGATCCCCGCCAGTGCCTACAATGATGGCGTCTTGCCGATCGAGGCTGGTGGCATCGGAAGTGACCGACGTTATTCCCTCCTGCTTTTTGGACTCCGCGCAAGTCTAGCTGGGAGTGTTCTTGGTGGCTTGTTGAGATGACTTACCACTTTGAGACGAGGAAATGACCGTGATGTCCAGTTCCTCATCCGAAAGTGGTGAGTCATCTCCAAAGCCAGAAGGAGTACTCTCCTGACTGAGCCTTAGCGTTTTTGTCTTCTCCAGGAGGGCGGACAATTGTTCGTTTTGTTGCTGGATGTTGTCATGGATAACGTCACTGTAGCTCATTATGTCGTCCCCTCCCGAATTGGAAATCATGTCCTGTGGCCGGTCCTTGGTCGTTGCTTCCTTGGAAGCAATGGTGTCATTGGTAGAGTGGGGTTTTGTTTTTGTTGTTATTGTTGTTTTTCTCCATGTGAAAGGTCGGACTTGGGTGAGACGAGGTCCACCATGGCATAGCCTCCCTACCATGGCAAGGACTTGGCAACTAAGCCTGTTACTCACTGAGGCGCCCAGGTATCAGTGAGGCAACCGTACGAATACAGTCGGTACCCTGACTGCAAACCGAGAAACGCTGATGCTGAACGGTTTACGTAACACCCCAGCGTTAGGGGGTCTTATTCCTCGGTAGACCAACACCGATCACTGGATAATTCGAGGCGCCAGTTGTTCGCCTCGTCGAACCAGGGATCATGGGCACTCGGATATTTATTCCGAGACTCTCCCCCCGGAACCCCTGAGTTGTCCGCGACTGCTTATTTATTCGCAGCTGCCCACTATATATATTGGGCGTTCCACTATCCGCAACCTGTGGACGCGTCCGGTAGCAACCAGCTATGCTTCCGATAATCGGCCGGAAAGGATTAATATAAGTGTCAACTTAATCCGACTGGTTGTAGAAAAGATGCAAAACTCCCTAGGCATTTTGGGAACATGGAAATATAACGGCTTCCTTCCAGAATTTGTGAGATGCCTTTAATTTTAATTAAATATTCGAATTGTTCCCCCCATTATATGTGGTGTCTAAGGATCAAGTGTTGAAAGTCACTCTGCCTGGCTTTGCCATAGAATCAACACGTATATCGGCGTACCAATTTCAGTGTTTAATCTTTTACAACGGCGTCAGTACCGTTATTTAACGGAAAAAATATTTCAACATCAAATTTTTAGTTTTTTTTTTTATCAACTTTTTTTTGTTCCAAAAATACTTATAATTCAATTAAATTAAACTTCTAATTGTTTAGGGGGTTTCGTATCCCCAACATGGAAGAGCCAATGGATCTTCCACCGGAGTAGCCACCGGAAAAAGGCCAGCAAAACCACCTTTAAAAACCACAAGCAAACGTACCCCAAACAGGAATAATACAGATCGATCAAGATCGCGATCAAGATCAAAAGAAAATTTTTGTCAAGACCCATCGACTCTAACAAAACCGTCTTCGAATCGAAATGTTTCAACGACCACCGAGAAACCAAGTAAACCACCAATCGAATCATCAACGGAACCACCCACCGGAACTGTTGCCAATGTCGCCAATATCGAACCTCTAGTCGAACACATCTACGACATCAATCACCCAGGACCATACATGGTGTACATGGACAAAATTTCTGCAAGTGAACAACGTCAACCAATTAGTATCTTTGCCTAAGCCAGGTATGTAAACTCTTTAAGCAATTGTAATATCCTAGCTGTAACCAAAATTGGATACGGACGCGGAAAGATCACCTTCAAGAACGCTAAAGCAGCCAACGCTTTCGTCAAAGAAAAATGCCATGTCAATGCTGGGTACCAACCCCGCATTTTTTCTCACTTTGTATCAAGAATGGGAAATTCCCCCAATTGATATCGACATCTCTATCGAGGAAATTCATAAAAACATCGAATCAGAAATTCCTATTAAAAAAAATATTCAGAGTAATGCGCAAAGAGTAAGATGAATTTGTTCCCACTATGCGAGTGAAAATCCTATTTGAAGGAGTTAATGTACCCAGCTTTGTGAAAATGTTTGGTTACGCCAATATTCGTGTACGTGATTACATTCCCTTCGCCCAATGCTATAAATGTTACAGGTATAATTATGTTATGAAGCACTGCAAGCAAAGACACCCTAACTGCAAAATGTGTTACCATTTACATAAAGAACCCACCTCACCATGTCAAGTTCCAAAAAGTTGCCCTAACTGTAAAGAAGATCACTCTCCAACTGACAGAAAATGCAAGGCCAGGACTAAAGCGTTTAATATAAAAAGTATCACGACACTAGAAAATATTACAGTCTCAGAGACCAAAGAAAAATATCCTACTTTGTTTTCAAATAGGTATTATTCGTTGGACGATGACGCTCTAGCTAATTTTCCGCCGCTACCAGCAAAGGCAAATCAAAAACCACAACAACTTGGTCATGCCAGAAACATCCAGGAGTCAGCTAAAATCATACATGCAAGTCAATCATATGCTAATGCAGCAAAAAAATATCGGAATCGTGAACGTGAAGCTGAAAACTCCAGGATGTTAGAAGAAAAACGTCGTTTGGCTTTAGAAGAAGATGCAGTGTACCAAGCACCAAACGGTGCTGCTCTGTATTTTGCTGCCAAAAGTAAAGTCTCCGAACTAAAAAGATTACTAGAAGAAACAACAAAATCAGTTACAGGCATTTTAACTGAATCTAAAAATCTACCTTCTGAACAATTTCTCTTCCTGAACAATTTACGCCTAAACATCGATAAGAACCTGTGTCAATTGAATATAGATAGAATTTTTTGTGATACTACGGACCCAACGGGGAATAACAAATAACCTCAATTATATAACAATATGAAAATTCTCCAATTAAATATACAAAGTTTAAACAACAACCACAATAAAAATTTACTCGAATGGTTCTTAAATCGTCATAAAATTGATCTTGCAGTCCTTACAGAAACGTGGATTAAAGATAATTCGTCTTGTAGCATTTTTAATTACAATTTTGCCTGCAAAAACAGAGCAGATTGTTATGGAGAAGTCGGTTTAAAAAAACAAATTAAGTTCTCCCACTTGAACTTAAATATCGATGCTCAAATTTTAGGAGTCCAGACATTAAACCTGCAGCAGAATTTTATAATTATTGTTTGTTATTCTCCACCCAGTTATTCCAGAGAGAACTTCCAAGCAGCGATCTGTAGCTTAATGGCTAAAATTGAACACCTTACGCTCCCCATAATCATCGGTGGTGATTTTAATGCCAAGTCCACATTATGGGGCAACTTTTCCACAGATGCAATATGAAGACAATTGGAGGACATCATGGAGTTAAATAATTTCTTTTGTATTAACAATGGCGATTCAACTTTTTGTGTAAATGATTACTCTTCAGCAATTGACGTCACAATTTTTCACTCAACCCCTCGTGGCATGTGCTTAGCACTAAATTAACCAATAGCAATCATCTGCCAATAATAATTGATTCCAAGTCATCCTACAACAATATTAAAAAAGCGAAACGTATTCGCAACAATAAAGGTTTAAAAGATCTATCTAACTTAAAAATTGGCAGCACAATCGAAAGTTTTAATAACGATGTTGCGTCGATTATTAAGGAAAATACTATTAAAATTCAACCAGATAATAACTATATCCCTAAAAGATGGTGGTCTGATGAAATTGATAGATTACGTAATGCGGCTCGCAGCAAATATTACAAAACTCGACTTCTCACAGACCTCACGCTCTTCTATGAAGCAGAAGTCAAACTTAAAGAAGCTATTGAAAAGCAGAAAATATCAAATTTTGGTAATTTTATTGACTAAGTATCAACAGCATCAACGTCAATTCTGGAAATTGACAAAAAATCTTAAAAATGACAAAGTAGAAAAAAGCACAAACCAACCTTGGACTGAGGACAATCAGGAAAAATATTTAAATTTAATTGCCAGTCATGCTAACAACAACGACGTCACTGATCAACCCGAACCTGTTTTTAGTGTTACAAACAACACCACTATTATTGACAACAATGTCCCTTCACCACAGTCTTTTCTTGGTAATGGCAACATCAATGACAATCAATTAGTACCAACAGTATCAAGCAATTTTTCGGCAATACCATCATCCAATCAATTCCACAACAGTAACACCCAATCATTTGACCCTGCCAACATCAACACTGTTCTTAATAACACTCTTTCAGAACAATCTTTTAGAATCATTCACCACAACAACATTGACAACGAACAGCCTATATTTCGTTTTACCTACAATGACTTTTTAACATTCTTGAAATCTCGTAATCCAGATTCGGCTGCTGGACCAGACTCAATTTCGTACCGCTTTGTAAATTCCCTGTCAGAAGAAAGCAAAAGAAGATGGTCTCAACATACTACCTAGTAGAACTTATGCTTACAGGTGTGGGCGATCGACATCAATGTGCATTAACGACCTCATAAATTGCGTTCAATCGTTAAAATCCTCCGGTTATCATGTACTTGGCTGCTGCTTAGATGTCGATGTGATGTGCTTATTACTGCACAGACGCAACAACATTGGCAAATAGAATGCTTGAGATTTGAATCATTGAAGGAAGGAAGAAAGTTGTTAAGAATGGTCTTGCTCAAGGGAGTGGTCTTAGCCCCATCCTTTTTAACCTCTACACCACCAATCTTCACAGACTTAATTCACATAATTGCAAGTTGTTCCAATTTGCAGACGATCTTTTCATTTTAACCTATGATAAATATTTCGAAGCCGCTCGAGCATTACTTCAAATCAAAGTTGAAGAATTTGATGAAAAATGCAGGTCAATTAACCTACACTTCAATCCAGGCAAAACTCACGTCGTTCATTTTAATAGAAAAAGTCGTGACTTCACAATAAATTGCAATGATACGTATATCAACCAGGTCCGAAAAATCAAATTCTTAGGATTGTTCGTAGACGCGAACAACTCGGCTAAGCATCATTTTGATCAAACCCTCTTTGAGGTAAATGGGAAGTGTCAGTTCTTAAGGACGCTTAGTGGTTGTAGTTTCGGAATTGACCCTGTCAAAGCGCTAACACTGTAAGAAGCCTGGTGAGATCTTAGATAGAATATGGTTCGGCAGCATTGGCTAATGCCAGTAAAACTAGCTTGGATCAAGTCAAAAGATGTTATAACAATCACTTCAGAAAATCGTTGGGTCTTATCAGGTCAACTCCTGTTAACATCATTTATCAGCTGGCAGCTGAACTCCCACCTAAATGGCGGTTCGAGCTTACAGCGGCAAAAGAACTTGTTAAATCATTTGCATTTGAACTGCCTATTAAAAAGACTATTTTGTCAGCTAGGCAACCTATAAACACAAGCGTATTCCAAGTCTACGACAAATACAGAGATATCCGGACTAACATTCAACCATTGCACACAACAACTGCCTTGATTTTCAACATTACAATATACAAGTATTTCTTTGATGGTACGGTTGCTAGAAGTCACTTGCAAATCAAGAAATTATTTCATCTCTATTGAATAAAAAACTATCAGCTGCAGAATGCAATAATTTTGAAATAATCTTCACTGATGGATCTGTTATGGATTCTTGGACAGGTGCCGCTTTCATTCATCAAAACTCGGGCACAGTATTCGCCTTCTATGAAGAAAAACAGCTGTCTTCAATGTCCGCTGAATTATTGGCTATTATCAAAGCAATTGAATTTGCTATAATCAACAACTTTATGAAAGTGGCAATATTTTCTGACAGCTTAAGTGCGTTGCAAGCTACTAATCATAGGAATTACTTAGTACACAGGGTGTGGTTGTTGGCTTCAGATTTCGGTGGTGCTGTCGATCTTCATTATATTCCTGGACACTCCAACATCAGATTGAATGAAATGGTTGATCAGGCAGCCAAAAGGGCGTAGGAAATTGGTTCTCGTTGGATTTTGTCTTGGCCAATAGCTGATGCCATCGCAAAAATAAATGGTGACCTTTGGAAAGAATGGGATGAAAATTATCAAGCCGAAGCAGCCAGAAGTAGTTCTCTTTTCTACAACATGTTTCAAAAGTTTCAAGAAAAACATGGTTCCATAATTCTACTGGATCTCCTATAAAATGTGAACAAATAAATAGAATTCTTAGCGGACATTGCTTCTGCCCTGAAACGCTAGCAAAAATGAATGTTATACCATCCTCGTTATGCGAATCTCGCCATGTCGATAAAAATTCATCTCACATCCATATTTGTATGTCCCATGGCAGAAGAATATTCTTCTACCATGGTATGTCCCAAATACAACAACGAACGAGGAAAAATATACGAACTCAGTGGTGTAAACATAATTGACGAATTTCTCAAAAGCAATGGCCTCTGCAAGCTATCCATTCTTAGTGAATTTCTGGACTCCATCAACTATCAGCTGTAAACAACTAGCATTTGTGTGGCGTTTTGAGGCCAAATAATAGGTGTGTCTGGTTACCCTAAAGTTTGTAACAATTGTTACAAATTGTTACTGGAAGTCGTCTGTTAACCCAAAAGTTCTGCAAAAGAGAGCGGTTGGAGAGAGAAATTTTGACAGTTCTTTCAGTGAGAGTTTGCAAATTCTTGCTGGAAAAATTTCTTCTTGCAATCACTTGCAACTCTTCTTCTTCTCATTCAACGACATTCAATCAGATGTTTTCTATTGTTTGTTTATTTATTTTTGTGCTTTCAATTTGAAAATATTTTTTTGGAATTAGCAAGACTAATAGTTTTTGGAGAACAACTTTACAAAATGTGAAAAACGTAAATGTTAACATGTAATAAGAAAATAAAAGACTATTTCCAACATTTTTATTTAAAAAACCTGTAAAATTAGTATTGCTTCCTTTGTTTTAATTCTCCTTATGGGGGACAAATTGGTTTGTTTTGACAAATCAGCTGATTAGTTGCAAGCTTCTGCAGGAATACCGTCTGTTTACTTTTCGCATTTTTCTTGCAAAAGAGAATAAAACTACCTTACTCTCTCAGAAAGAAGTTACTGGACAATTCCTGCTGGAAAAGTAACCAGACACACCTAATGCTTCTACCTCCAACTAGGCAGAAGTAACGAATAAACCGGAAAAAGTGTTGAAAGTAGTTGCATTCAGCCTGATAATTACATTGCATGCGTGCAATTGTAATACTAATATTGTGTTAAGTAAATTATTTGAATGCTATATAATAGAAATGGAGGCTGCAAAAAAACTGTCCCGTAGTGAACTCCTCAAATCGATCGACATTGTTGTTCATAACATATCAACTGAGGAAAAGAATAGGATCCTACCTGAGAATATTGAAGTCCTTTGTAAAACAGTATTGTGTACATACGAACATTTTTCGCTTTATGGTAATTCAAAAATTGTGGATGAATACAACTTAAATTATAAGGTTAATTCAATATTGTTGCCCAAAATATTTCGTAAAATAGAAGATGAAATGTACTCATTTCATAACGCAGTAATTATAGATAATTTAATGCAAGTTTTCGACAGAAATATAAAAGTAAGTTCTTACGTTGTAATGAATTGTAGTAAGGAGAAAACAATTTTGTATTTAATCATTACACGCCTATTTGCATTACGGCCGTCTGAATTTCATTTAGCATTAAAAAGAGTGCTACTTAATGTGAAATTCAACATATTGGGATATCTCTTTTGTGAAACTCGACAGAGTGTTTGCTACGAAAAATGTGTGATTTTAGAAGAAGAAATTTGTAATTTAATTAGCAGAAAAAATGAAAAGAGTGTCGTTAACTTTATGAATTCAATGTTCACTTGTATTTCGAATTCCTTTAAAGGGAAATTGCTATACCAAAAGTGCTTGGAGAATAGGATTTTTCACAAAAGTATGCTGACATTTTTTTATATGAAGCTAAACGGTTTAGGACTGGCAGAATTTGGAAGTATGTTGGATGAATATAACTTGCAAGATCTTTTATATACATGTGTTTATACTATTAGAACTAAACGTATATCGGACATAAAACTATCGGAATTTTCCAAATTAAGACAATATATTGATTTAATTTTTTAATACTTCAGTATTTCATTACATTGTAAAATTATTACGAGATAAAATTAAAAGTACAATACAATTATTTTTTTTTTTTTTTTTTTGTTTTGTTACTAATGCTAGTCGGAGTCATTTGTGTTAAAATGGAAACAAAATATTTAACGATTAAACATAAATATAAGCGTAAACATAATGGTAATTGCTCATTAGAGGCATTTAACTATGAAGGCTATCGATTTTTATTTATTTATATTAGCTTTTTCCATAATTGTATTTCCCTATATTAATAAAATATTTTTTTGTAATAAAATTGAAAATAAAATCGTCATATTTTTTATTTTTATAGCATGTTGAATCGACTACTTTGTAAGAATGTGAGTTGCTGAGATAGAAAACTGCATCATTGAAAAATATATTGGACGTCGACGATAACGCCACTTTTAGTGCATCTTTAGTTTATTAGATTAGAACTAAATTAAAAGTTTTCTTTTTGTACCATTTGCAATTGATCTGTTCAGTAATTGTGCAAGACATGATTTCGCTCGGATTTGTTCTTTCGTGTTTTTATCAAATTAAATCAGTCAATCATGGTAGATGTAACAGGTAACCGCATCGGCGAATTGCTACAACAAAACAACTTTTGTGGTACCCTCAAATGTCAAAATTGGCATCTAAGGCGAAAAACATGCATTCGCCATGATATTTAAAGTTTGCGGCAAACTTGTTTCAACCAATCAGAAACGAAGTGTTTGTTTACATTTTATGTTTTGTGTGGAGATTAAGCCAAGTAATAATACGACTCTCGGGGACCATTGTAACAGTCCCAAGGTGATAGTAAGCCCCCGAAATATTTATACAACCCCACAACTGTAATATCTTCTACGTCATCGTCAAATACCACTAATATTCCAGCAAATGTTGGTAACCGGAGGTTACACCAACTACAACACAGGGCACAACAGAAGCAAGTGTTGCCGATATCGCCACCAGTAAAATCCCTCTTGGTAGCAGAGCCGATGCAAATTCCCCAAACCATACAAAGAGTTTTCACGACCACAGCGAGGGGGAAGAGCTGGTGCTAGTAGAAGTTTGGATAAGACCAACAGAGTCATAGCTCTCGGGATTGACGGTATATCTTATTGCAAATGGAGCATTTTTTCATTTTTTTTTTTTTACTTTTTTTCTGGTAATTCACCCTAAACTTGCTCTTAGATTTTGCAATATCAGAAAAAAATATTTTTAGTGAAGAAGACATAAACAAACTTTGTTTTTGTGTTGCTTTTATTTAGGGCGAATCAGCATTACAACTTGTCTTTACATTTAAAGGTGCCGTCAGCTGGAGCGATGCGACTACCTAGTAGATCTACCTTGCACTCAACAAAGAAAAATCAAAACGGATCGTACTTATCCGAGATTATTGTATCTCTAAGAACATGTCCAACCATGGTAGAAGTACCAGGTAGTGCCATAGGCGAAAATTACAACAAAGCAACTTTTATGCAAACTTGACGTCAAAATTGTAAGCGAAGCTAATTTATTCGACATATAAAATTTGAGCAAATTTATTTTTTGCCAATCAGAACATTGTATTTTGAAATATAAACAATTACGTTTTCTTTTTTTAGAATTGTAAACATTTTAATTTTGCATGGTTACTTAATTGCCACAGAAGATTTTAGCGAACTCGATCAACGCTGTGTGTATCATGTTATTAATTTTTTATCAAACTCCAGATACTAACGTGCATGGATATCTTGAGATCATTGAAAAATTGTTTTAAACTCCTTTCTTGTAGATCAGTTATCAAGTGTTTTGTGTTGTGAATTTAGGCTTAACCTTTGTAACAAAATTCTGGACGGCTGGACAAATTCATTTCCAATTTTGGCTAGTTACCATTCGAATAAAGCGTATTTGGTGCATACGCAATTTTCACTGGTTCTGCGATATTACATAAACATCAATGGAAAGTCTTTGGAGGTTTTTGAATGCTATCCGTGGATTCGAGGATCTTTGCATCTGTAGAAACAGGTTACATCTCAAAATGTTGTGTAAACATTGAAGCTTGGATTTTACAAATATTGAAACGGTAAACAATTTCATTTGGGACCCGCATCAAAATTCCAAATGCGTCTGTATCAAACAGTAAAGGTACTTACAAAGAACTAGAATAAACGTGGGAGTGTTACGTTGTTCTTAACATCAATCATTGTCATTTTTGTTCCTTCAATTGGACATATTATAAATTTACCTCTGTCTAGACAACGTTTAGTTGATCTACATCGAATAGCAATGTGACCAAGACGACCAGTTTTTACAAAGGAAACTAACAAAAACATAACTGTATAGGAGAAGCAAAAAACTTTTTTAGATGAAAACAATAAACATGTCAAATGAAGACACATGTATATTTGAAGAGTTATGTTAGATACTTCTTTTTGACTTTTGTTTTTGTGAAACACAATAAGACGTATCTACAATAAATAGATTTAAGCAATGATTATTTTGGCATTAAGAAAGTAATTGATCTAATATTTGGTTAAACAAAAATTAAGTTTGTTGATTAAAGTAAGGTTTGCAATAAGGATTTTAAATTAAAGGTTGTTCATTATTAATATAATTTGTTATACATATATTCGTAAGTTAGTTCAATTACATATTTTTATTAACTATTTAAATACTTTTATTATTTAATTTGTCAATATTAATTTGTCAATTATGAACTAACAAACTACATTTTAAAACTACTTTTGAAATGGAGTATTGTCATAGAAAGAATGACAGTCTGAAGGGAGTAATTTTCAGATCCTGTAGATGTTGCAATTTTTTAAATAAAATTGTATTCCGATTGCATTTCGATTTATTATATAAAATATTTAAACCGCATAATGTTTATAGTTCTATGAACACATCTGACAGTTCGATTCTTAAACGTTAGAAATTTGTCAATTAATGTTCGTTTTGTTGTATCTACTAAATAAGGAAGATTTCTAATTTCAGTTTCTAACGTTTCAGTTGTTTGCGGAAGAATCTCTAAAAATCTCTAACATGGCCGTGTTTTGATCTCAGAGTGCATGAAAAGGCAGACCTACACCGATTTTCTCGATTAACTCTCAGTAGAGCTGCAAAACTATCGATAGATATATTTTTTGAGGACTATCGGTGGGGTTTTCACTATCGATACTATCGGCAAATTTGAAAAAGGTAGTTTGTATGTCTTTTTCAAAAATTTTTATATTTTAAAACAAATAAGTAATAGCATGTTTCCATTGGAAACCGAACAACGTTGTTCGCTCTCAGAATTAGGTACACGAATTAACCCGTTCATACGGCACGATTCGTAATTCATAGTAAAATGATTCCTTTTTTCAAAATTTTGTTTTTTGATCTTAATGGGAATTTATACTAAAATACATTAAATTCTTACTAATATGAATAGAAGAAATGATTATTTTTCTCCCAAAGATTTAATATAACATTAATTTTATAATTTTCATTCACGTCTCCAACTTTTTGTGTTAATGTTGACATTTTGAAAATATTTTTGTATTTTTCTATTTTTAAATTCTGCTGGAGAGACACTTGTCAAACATTTTGAAAATATTGCCTCTTTTGTTTCCTGTTTTCTGTGGTAATTTCAACTCGTGGACAAAATGCGTACCTCGGATGAGAGAGAAAACAAAATTTACTTCCGTCTGAATGTACATACGCTATTCTACATTGTAGTTTTCATTAATAAATTTCAGTCTTCCCAAAATTTTTCAAAATTTCATTAAATTTTTCTATTTTCAATTTTTAAATGTCATAATTAATATTTTCAATAAATGCTCTCATTTGTTAGGGGTGGGACATATTTTTTCGTTGTTCTGAGAGTGATTTGATTTGAACAATGTACAAATATGAGTGTTTGCTCAGGATATTTTGTGTGAAGAATTAAATACTTTTTTCATAGTTAAGGGTCAAACAACGAATAGAGAGCGAATAAAGTGCAGTGGAAACGCCACATAAGCAACTACCTCGCTACGAACCATGGTAGAAGAATATAGGTAGACGCCTCGACACAGCTGCTGGGACAATGAACTGTCAAACCAATTTTGGAATTGAAAATGTTGAATGAAAAATTATTTAAATATGCAAAAATTATTGAAAAACACGAATTATAATAACCTCCGAATGACGTAGTATAAGAAAACATATAAAAATCTTCTTATATTTGAAAAAACATTTAAATTTTTACGATAGCCGGCGTTAAGTACGGACGCGTTTTATTTTTCGTTGCTAATGAAAGGTGTTTTTTTCACAAGCAAAGCAAAATAAATAATATAAAAGCAAACAGTA